GTCAAACTTAATTGAGTCGTGCACTGTGTTTAGGGTCATAAGAAATTGGGTAAGTTTGTCATCCGTACCCGTGTATACAAAGAATATATCATCGATATATCTTGCATAGAATACGCAGTCGCTACCAATGATTGGATAGATATGGGTCTCCTCAAATTTTCCCATGAATATTGTAGCATATGATGGAGCTGCAATGGTGCCCATGGCACAACCTCTTATTTGAAGGTAGTGTGCTCTATTGAAGTTGAAAGTATTCAATGTAAGGACATGCTCCATGAGTTTTATGATAACTTCTGTGGGTGGGGGGGGTCTTGTTTTCTTCTTTTAATAAGTGCTTCCGGAAAGGCGGTTAGCCCTTCGATGTGTTTAATGTTTGAATAGAGTGACCTAACGTCCATAATCACTAGAATAGCATTCTCTGGAACTGTTTGTATGTGTTTAATTTTGTTCAGTAGATCTGTTGTGTTTCTGATGTAGGATTTTACTTCCTTAGCTAGCGGTTGTATGTAATGGTCTATGTATTTGGAAATTTTTGTCGTGTGGCAGTTGAACGAGGAAATGACCGGCCTTCCTTGGTTGTTGCTTTTGTGTATTTTAGGAAGGAGATAGAAACGAGTAGGTGTAATGTTTGTGGGTGTAAGTGCTGTGTATGTTTCCTTGTCGATTAGATTGTTGCGAAGCATTATGTTTAGTGAGCTAGTTAATTCTTTTTGGTATTCGAGAAGGGGATCTGTAGGTAAGCTTTTACAGGTTTCTTTGTCGGCTAGCTGTTTGTTGGCCTCTTTAATGTATTCTTCGAATCCCCAGATCACTGTCGCACTCCCTTTGTCAGCCTGTGTTATGATTAGGTCATCTCTATGTGTCAGCGTATCGAGGGCTATACGTTCCCCTTTAGTAATATTGTCACGTGGCAGCTTACGTGCTATTGTTTTCTTTATGTCATTTGCTACGGCTAGTTCAAATGTTTGTATAGTAATGTCTGTGTTTTGTGGGGTGTAGGTAGTATCCTTCTCTTTTAATGTATCAAGTATGGAAGGTGTGTGATCATTGTCCCCGTAGTGGGCTTTTAACCGTATTCTTCTGAAGAAGGATTTCAGGTCCTTTGCCAAGGTGTCTTTATCAAACCTTGGGGGACTAGGGCAAAAGCTTAGTCCTTTATTTAATACCCTGAATGTATTGAGTGAAAATTTATTGTTTCTTAAATTTATAACTCGCCCGTATGGTTCAAGTTTGAATTTGCAAGCATGGCGAAGTTCTTTCGTAAAAGCTCGAAAGCTTGCATCATATCTCCTATTAGGGATGCTATACCCCCATCCAGGTGCCCTGATTGGGGGCTTATTCCGTCTTTTTTAAGGTTGAGTGTGTTTGCTGTTGATTGTCTACTAGGGGCTAATCTAGGTGGTCTGGGATGTCTAATGGGGTTATGCGTTCTGTAGAAGGGCTGCTGTGTTTTGGTTTGTGTATGTTTGTACGGCACCCTATGGATGTCCGCGTAAGTTAGTGGTTTGTTTTGTGTGTGTGTTTGTTTTGAGGTTCTAGCTATCGTTGATGGTGGCGGTGTTGTTATTGTTAGTTGTGGTGCTGGTGGTTGTCTGTTGGTGTATTTATTTGGTCTGTTTTGTGTTTGCATTGGTTGTGTGGTGGTCAGTGTATATGCGGTGTTTTGTTGTTTTCTTTTGTGGTATGGTCGTTCACTTTTTTCAGAGTTTGGCTTGATTTCTCTTTTGTTCCTCTGTCTGGGGGAAATATTCCATTTTAATTTTCTTTCTTTTTCAGTTTTTGTTTTTTGTAGTTCCCTCACTGTTTGGTCTGTGTGAGCTTTTATGACATTCTTTATGTTGGTATATTCTTCCGTGTCCGTTTGTTTTTTTTATTTTCTCATCGAGCAGGTTTTTTTCTGCTGTTGTTGCCGTTATGCTTTCCTGGTAGAACTGCATGGTATCCTGCATGAGTTCCCTGGAAAAATCTTCTAATTTACGGTACCATGATGCTAGAAACGCATCATTGTGGTTACCTATTGATGGTTCCAAATCAATCCTGAAATTGGTCGGTTAATGCACTGACATTTGTAGGTTAATGCACCCTAAAATTTTGTTAGCGAAGGGATTTCGCCATTATTCTAACGAATAATTCATGCAAAAAGTAGATTAGTAAAGTTAATGATATAAAATGGCGAAATCCCTTCGCTAACAAAATTTTAGGGTGCATTAACCTACAAATCACTCGATGAATGTTATGATCATTGTTTTTCAAAATTACAAGCTGTATAAGGTCTTTCTTTAATACGCAAGTACTTTCAACTGTACATTAAGTCATCTTCAGACATGAAAATTATTTTGTTTTTGGTAAAATTCAGGTAGCATCCGAGACGAAAAAATATGATGCTAATCAAAATATGTTTTTTTTTTTTTTTTTTTTAATATGTTATTACTAACGGATACAAACTTTTTGAAGCGTGGAGTCACAATGCTAAGGATTTTTGTTCTTTTTGTATCAATGATTCATTGTAAAATTATATTGAACTGCACCACATATTTATATATATATATATATATATATATATATATATATATATATATATATATATATATATATATATATATAAAAACAGTGTTTACTATTGTTCTCAGAGACAGATAAACTAAAAATAGTCTTATGTGATGAATCCTTGAATTTGTGGGATGCGAGTGAGTAAGGGAGAGAGAGAATGAGAGAGAGAGCATCGCAAGTATAAACTTTGTTTGGATGTTAGTCTATGATTCTTTTTCAATGTTTGTGTTATTGTGAGATTAAATTTTTATTTTAATATTCGCCATTTTAATCAAAGAGAATAAATAAATGAGAAAAAGAATGGAATGGATGAACCCTGTTGCTTGATATTTGTTTGAAAAGCTTTGTTTGATACCACATATATTTATTCTGTGCGGGAAAAAAAAACATTGCAAGTAAAATTATAGCTGAATTCAAATTTTGGAGTCCGTTCAAGCCGTATATATATTCAAGCTGTAGGTGAGGGATATAGAGAGAAGAATAGAATATTAAAGAGAAATAACTATAATAGAGAAAAAAATGAGAGGAAAAAGTATTAAATGTATGCCCTCGAAGAGATCATGTGCTTTGAGTGACTATCTGGACTTAATCAACCCAGAGTTCGAACTCGTCATACGATCTATCGCTAAAGATACGAAAGATGGTCGGTAAGCAAGTATGCAACTCCTTCTCTACTTTTACAAGAGTCAGATCAGGCCGAAAATGGAATACTTCTATCATATATGGGGATGAGCTGCCCAGTCTTCACTCGATAGAGTTCAAAAACTTCGCGTCCTTGTAGGTGATGAATTTTTTCTACCCTGCAATCTCTTTCCCACAGACGATAAATCTCAAGCCTTTTCCTCACTCTATCACTATTTCCATGGAAAGTGTTCAAACGAACTGCATTCCTTAGTTCCACTAGTTTTAACCGTCACAGCTAAGAGCCGTCATGCTTCACATATTGTAGCGAACCATTCTCATTCACTTCGTATTCCATTGGTTAGATGTGGGCTCCGCTCAAGCAGCTTTTACCCTACGAACCCCTACTTTGTGGAGCCGACCCCTAAGAGGATTCTTCCTATAATCTTAACCTTCACTATAATCTTAACCTATTTAAGTCTGGTGCTAATCGTTCTCTTCTTCACATATTCCCATAAACTTTGCCTCTTACTCTGTAACATTTTACTTCGAGTGGCTCTTTTACAGAATTAATATCATTGTAAAAAAAAAAACAAAAAAAAACCTCTTCTGAGAACACAGATAAGTTTTCTTTTCCGGCTCACTTCCGAATTTTATGTGAAATTAGCTATGAATTTCACCACTGATTGCTTAATCTTTAATATTCTGGGGCATTCGAAGATCCAGCGATTAAAGGCTATGTCATAGCCTATGTGTGGCCAATTCATTTTTTGTTGAACAGGTGAGTATCTGCTTTTGTTTCACTTCTAGCAAGAGTCTTCTTTTGTTAGATTTGTATTCTTTCTGATATTGATCGAGTGAAGATTTGCCTCATCATTGTTCAGCATATGATCTGTTGTACTTCTTCGTCTGGGTTTTGGATAAAGTTTTTTTTTCTGTTTCTGGTAATCCATTTTTTTCTTTAAATAGTTTTGAACTTTCTGGTCAGTCTATTGTTTGGTATAATGAACTTGAACCAATATCTGCTGTTTTTCGGAGTGTGATTTTCTTCCTTCGATTTTCTGAAGATCTCTCTCTCTCTCTCCATTAACCTTAACCATACTTGTGCTTTTATATAAAACCATATTTTATTCCAGAAGTATATTCTGGAACGTCAGCTTTTACGCTTTCTCTTCTTTTTCTGTTTATGTGTTAACAAAATTTTAGAAAGTGCAGTTTTGCACATTTTCTGTGTAAAAATGTTAGCAATTGATGAAATGAACGTAGTCATTGAAAGTGAATGTCTCTAAATATCCAATGAATCGATTCCTGATATATGCAATTTCATTGTTGTGCGTTGGCATCGATTTCTAGATGAAAAGTGTCAACAGAAAGGCTCACCTGTAAATGTTTGTTGCTCTTGGTAATGTTGTTTCCTTAACTTAATTTTTTAAAAATTATTTTTAGATAATAGTTCCCCTATTTCTTTATATTTATATTTGGGACGAAGCAATCATCAAAAATCAAATGAAAATGACAATCTTGACTTTCTTTCTTTTTCGATCAAACGCTTTGGCTTTTTTATCATTAATTTAATGTCATTCCAGGTTTTTCTTTATCATTTTCATAATAAATATGTATATATTTACTGCTTAACTTCAGTTCCCGATTCAGATGGTCTGTAAAGGAATCTAAAGTGGAAATTGTCTGTTAATTAAGAAATAGTTGAAAGAAGTGTGAGACAGAAAAGGCTATAATGAGTAAGTGCGAGAATTAAATGAACTTAATAATGAATTAAATATCCTCTACCTCATAGAAAATTTGCTTTCCTTTCCTTTCTATGTGACTTTTCATCTCAGAAAAGTCACATAGAAAGGAAAGGAAAGCAAATTTTCCATGAGGTAGAGGATAGATAAGAATAAATAGAAATATAGGAAGAAAAGAAATGTGTGGTGAAAAAGGAAAGGAAAAGGTGGGAAAATAAATAAGAAATGTGATAATAGCAATGGTCGTATTAAGAGAAGAATAATCTTAACAGCAATAAAATAAACAACAGATCTGCTTAGGAGTGAAAAAAGAAAAACTACGAAAAGAATAACTAAAAACTTCAATGGCAAATCGGTAAGATAAGGATAAATGGAAAATATCAAAAGAAAAGAAATCTTTTGATAAATGAGTTATAAAAGTCGTAATGTCGGACACCAACTTAATTGGCCTTAGTGATCTTATAACCCACCTCATGAGTTCAAAAATGTCTCGTTCTATCTTGATTGAGTGACTTCGCGAGTGGTGGTGTTTGGGTGTACTCGGCACTATGAAACCGGACGAGATTGTCTTACGTCTGTAATCATGAAAGGGAGAAGAAAATTGGGATAGACTGACGAGGATATCCTATCTGGGGCAGTTGAAAGGGAGCGTATAAGAAATGGAGGGTGTTCGCATAGGATAGCCAGATATTGACCTTGTGAAAGAGACGACATCGCTAATCAGTAAAATTTTAGCCTGACCGAAATCCAAGACACATCTGTCATGACTTGTCCTAGATTCGAACTCACAAATTCTGTGTATATCAGCTTTTCTTGCTGTACTCTTTATGTGAAACTCATTTGGTACAAGTCGCTTCACTGACAGCAAGATTATCAACTTTCAAATCTAAATTGTTTCTTCATTTAAAATACTACATTTATAAGGAAATGTATCCCGTTTAAATACAGAGTCATAAAAATGACTTCAAAGTGCACTAATATTCGTTTTTCTGTCATCCTGGAGTTGACAACAAAAAAAAAAGAAGAAATTAGACATCCTTGAATGGTATTCAGATTTTGTGTATGCACGTTGTGTATATTTTAATTGAACGCCAGGCCCAAATCTTTTTTCTAGAAAATTAGAAAAATTAATTCTAAAAATGATTTTATTTATAACTGATAATTTCCCAAAAGTTTAATAAAATCTTATAGTTACCTGATTTTTTAGATTTTAAAAATTAACGTAATTTTGACAAAAAATTAATTGTGTTATTCCACTCGTGCTATTTTTTTGGATATTAATTTCTTTAGAAGTTTAACCTAAATTCACTTTGTCGTCATAAGCAATAAGCTGGACATTTTCTTTTTGGTCATCACTATGAGGTCAGGTTATAGTAGGTACCTTCATGAGATCGCTAAAGACAGAGCATAACTTGATGTAAAAGACGCCAAACTTGACGAAAACAAAATTTTAGCGTCTGTTTATGTTATTAAGAGGAAAGATCAAAGTATTTTTAATTATTTTTAAAAAGTTTTCCTTCTTTTTAGAACATTCTAAATTTTGACTAAAAAAACCTTGTTTCTCTTTGTATCACCGGAACTAGTAAAATAACAAAATTTTAGCGCGTTTTTTTTCTGTATGACAGACATTAATATTGAAAATCTTGCAAAAATAAAAATAATTGTCGGATTTTAATGAAACTTTCAGAAACTATTCACAAATGATGGAACTTATTATAAATATGTTTTCCGTTTTTAAAGTCATGGCAAAATTATTTTTTTCATATGTATTATACCCTCCCCATAACTAATTGTACGAAAACTCTATAATTTCAATTTTGGGAAGATTAGTGATTATATTAGTTAAAAGCGCAAGGCTTTGAGGAAACCAAATCATGTTTGTTATTTTTCTTTTAGTTGGATCACCTCTATCTGAGTATCATCTCTGAATTGTAACATACAAAACTCAATAAAACAAAAATATTATTTAATTTCAAAAGCTTTTAATTGCTTTTATTTATTTTAATGAACATGGACAATATTGTCTGAAAGCAAAAATATATTTCGATGAAAAATGAATTTTTAAAACAATTATTTGTTATTTCTGAAATATGAAATATATATATTTTTTTTTACATTATGCTGTTAATTCTTGTTTTGTTTTATAGCATATCAACCTCAGTGGGTCATTTAATGCCAACAAAATTTTGAAAGATTCATAGCGATAGTTTGGTTTGGTTTACGGCATATCAACCTCAATGGGTTATTTAATGCTGACAAAATTTTTGTTGCTGGTTATATATTTTTCCTTCATAAATCTGTTTTTGGTAATATTTTTTTCTTCAAAAATGTATTGCTGGAAATAATTTTTTACAAGAATTATTTCTGGTATTAAAATCTATTTTTACACTTTCATAGTGTTTTGACACCAGTTTGGGGGGGGTAACTATTTGCCCATAGCTGGAACCCCTAACAGGTGCTACCACCCCGGTTCAGGGTAGACCTGAGAACACCAGCCATTAAGAGGTGGTTCCATGCTCCTCAAAACCTCCTGATCAGAGGCCTTGTTGTTGGACGTAGTTTATTGTCTTACCCAGGACGCCTAAAATTAGAGAAAAGTTTATAGAATTTAACGAATGCAGTTATTAAGTCGATATATATTTACAGATTATTTCCAAAGCTTCTTACAAACTAACGAACAGTATATAAAAAAAATATAATTTGTGTCAATAATAACACTGTAAATCAAATTTACGGAAGACCGAAAGTATCATGCGTGCAATAAAAAAACGTCACGCGGATTGAGTTTCTGTCTAGTATTTGAATTAAGTACTGAAATTTTAATACAATTATTTGTTATTTCTTTAATTACAGTAGATTTTTACATTTAAGTTGTTAAAATATTATAAAATTAGTTAAACATTCAATTTCATAAAATGTCCTTTTGAGATTTATTTTTGCGAAACACGTGTGGAGAAGTTAATTTGATTTTTCAATTTCAACTGAGAAGGGTACCTACAAGTATCAGTATCATCTTGTGAAATTTAAATTTGTATTTTATGTACACTTCTGATAAAATTTAATAATAAAGGTACTTATAAGTTAATTAGATACCTTTCTTATGAAATTTAATCTCACCCTCGACAGTCTTATTTTAATTTCTTTATAATATATTTTCCATAAAGCATCGTAAACGTAAAGGTGAAAGCTAAGTACGAAAAAAAAATTAGAGAGCTGAAAGATTTCCTTAAAAATAACGAGGTAAATAATTTGTTCACTTAAATCTACATAACTTCACTTCTCTTCTTCCGTAGAAGGAATTATCCTCACCTAAGCTATCAAAACGTCATGAATGTCTTTCGTCACCTGTCAAGTGACGCGAAAGGTTATGACCTGCTTTGTTTTATTTTCAAACTACGTCTTTTCGGCGCAGAAACTAATTTAAGCTTGGTTCAAAATATTTTAAATAAACATTATAATTTATGATTTTCTTTGAAAAAATTATAATTGATTTTTAAAATAATTTCAAACTGAGATTTTCATTTTTTTATAAATTGGAAAAAAAATGGCTGACATGATCGATTATCTATCAATTTTGATGACTAAAAAAAACAAGATTTTTAACGAAAATTTTGGACGTGCTAGGAACGATTAAAAAAATGTAAAAAAAATACCTCCAAAATACTTTAATCTTTCTTCTTAATAATAACATAAACATTTAGATGATAAAGTTTTGTTTTCGTCAAGTTTGGCGTCTTTTTTGTCATGTTATACTCTTTTTAACGATCTCATGATAGTACCTAGGTTATAGATACCATTAAATTGATATAAATAAATTGATACAGACAGCCATGGTTAGATTGAAATAAGTCTGAATAAACTAATATCAACTGATAGAAGCACTGAAATAATTATTTATAAGATCTTTATCACTGTATGTAAGAGAGTAAAGTCGATTATTTTTATTTTTATTTTATTTCATGACCAGGCAAACATGAAAGCAAAGAGATTTGATAATTTTTTCTTGTCTTTAACTTTGATGATTTTATTACTCAGCCTAGAGTTGGGATTGTCTGGAGTGATTGATTGAAGAATTTATTGTTCTAATCTCTCACTTCAAACTCAGACAAATTAAGTATGTGCGTGCATGTATCACACACAATATAGACATACATATATACATGACGTATGTAAATACAAAATCACACACATGATATTTCATGACGAAGAGGGCTCTTCTTTTATAATCTATATGATACGTGATTGTAGTTTCATCTTGAATGTTAACACCAACACTACAGGAAGAACTTCAATAGTGCCATGTCGCGCACGGAAAGGTGTCCCTGCAGTCACTTCCGGTGGGCAACCCTGAGGCCACATTATGATGTAGGCTTTGCCAACTTCTCTCTGCCCACTTCACGGGCGATAACCGTCTGCTTCTTTTACTTCAGGCCTTCTCATCTTCCAACCAGAATTCCACATGATGACTTACAAAGATCGAAAAATTAAACCTAAACCAGCCCTCCAAACCCTTCAACATTTCATTCTCTAACATCTGTGGCATTAGAACCAATTTCTGCAGCGTGGAATCCTTCCTCACTGCAAACTGCTCGGATATTCTGGCCCTGTATGAGACAAACCTCGACTCGTCTATCCCCTCCTCTGATCTCTCGGTCCCCGGCTACCTCCTTCCCCTTAGAAAAGACTCTCAAACCCACATGCATCTCCCACTGGCTAGAGAGTTGTCTCTGGAATCGCCAGACTATTCGTACTTGTGTCTCCGTCTATCTCTTCTCAATGCTGTAAGCTATCTGTTCTTCCTTTATCGCTCTCCATCCTCTCAAGACTGCGAAATAATCGATAGCATTTCTATTCGATAGTATAGACAAGGCTCTCTCTCTCCATCCGTTTGCTCACATTTTAGTGTTTGGCGATTTTAACGCCCATCAAGTGGCTTAAGAATGCTACTACTGACCTTGCAGGCATTCAAATACTTAATTTTTCAGTTTCTCAATCCCTCACGCAGATAGTTGACTTCTCCACGCGTTTTGCCTACAACCAGGACGGTAAGGCCTCTCCTCTGGATCTGTGTTTTACCTCCATCTCCGAGTCTTGTAGCGCCTCCCAGTTCTGCCCTCTCGGTAACTCCGATCACGCTGTAGTGTCTGTCAACATCTCCTTCAACTCAACCCCACTGCAAAGAACCTCCTACCTCTAGAAACTCGTTCTGCTATCAACGCGCTGACTGGAACTCGTTCCGTGATTTCCTCTGCGATGTCCCTTGAGATGTTGTCTTTACGCTCTCCGTTCAAGAATGTGCTTCTGAGGTCTCCTCCTGGGTAAAAGCTGGAATCGACGCTTTCATCCCCTCAAGGAAATTTATGGTCAAATCGCGCTCCTCCCCTTGGTTCTCTGCTGCTTGCTCAGCCGCCATTGCCCACAGGAACCACTTCTTCTACCTCTATCGTAGCGACATGTCCGATTGCAATAGACGTCTCTTTGCTTCTGCCCGTAACGTGTGTAAGCGTGTCCTCAATGAAGCTAAGTCGCTATTTGCTTCTCGAATGAAGGAACGTATTGCATCTCGCAAATTCGGCTCCAAGGATTATTGGCATCTCTGCAAGAGCGTACTAAATAGTAGCAAGCCCTCTATACCTCCTTTGTTCAACCAGTTCGAAGTTCTGACCTCCTCTGCCGACAAGGCTGAATGCTTTGCCCGATCTCCAGATGATGTG